AATAATGGGCATCCTTCCCCTGAGAGCTTCATTGACTTTGGGAAATACAGTCGCAGACCACAGAGTAGATACTTTCATTTTTTATTAATTGCAGTACAGAGAAAAGAAGTCAAGAGTTTAAAGAAATTTATATTCTTTAGGGTGTTGATTTTACACCAACACAAAAGAGGAGTCTTCAGGTCTCTCTTCTCAGGGTAGACTGGAAAGAAAAAGAAGAAACTTAAGCAATCTTTGTAAAATGAAGTATATTTTCCAAATAAGGTTTTAGAAATGTCGAATCTCTTAGACTCTTTTCGCAGTTTCCACCAGTGGAGACAGCCTAAGCATGACCTGGACTTAGCTGAACTCCCGCACTCCGTGGGCAGATGACACACTGATGCTTGTTGTGACCATTCTCGTTATCACTGGTCCCGTCAGAGGCCTCAAGCTTCGAAGTCCGAGGTCTCACCATTTCTCAAGACCTACTTACTACCTAATTTATTACAAATGAAAGCTGTCTTCTCAGAGTGCAACAAAATTTCCTTTTCCTTCTAAAATGGTAATGATTTTGAAATAACCCTCTATCTGTAAGTCCTTTGCTTGAATACACAGAAAATATATGTTTTCATATGGAGATGAAAATAAGATGTGCCATCTTATTCCATCGTTGATATGTCTTTAAAATTCTGTTTCAAAATATTATAAACAAAATTGAACAACATAGCTGTGCTTAATTATCTATATTTTTAAAGGAGGCCATTTTGAAATATGAAAATAAATGCTGTCAAAGTTTGGCATGTGACACCTGAGAGATTCTGAAGCAGATCATTTCGTATGAAACAGGAACCCCAGTAGATAGCTTCATTGTATTTACTGGTGAAATGAATTACAGAATTATTGGCTCAACTATGCAGAATCAATAATACACAACTGTTTTTACCCCATATGCTCTTTTGTATGGCTTCAGCTTTAATCTGAGGATATCCTTGGCTGGGTTAAAGTGTGTGACTCCACGTAGTATATCATGTAAGTCAGAGCAGAACCATGATTAACTCTTCGGGGCTGGCTTGAATTCTGGATTTTTACTCCTTCTCTCCCTTGGGTAAACTGCATTAATCTAGACCTTTATGTATTTATTTTCTTATCTGCAAATAGAACCCAAATCGGCGAACACACGTGAGAGCCTAAGAGCGGTGGCTGGTGCTAGTCTATGGACTCTTGGCAAATAGTCAACAAATCTTGGCCATCTTAGGAAAGATGATTATGATCAGTTTTCAAAACCCCAAATATAGTTACCTGAGATGCTTGTGATGTATTTAGGCTAAGGCAGCTTGGCTTGCAGCAACAAGTTTTGGACCCTGAACACAAAGAAATGATAGGTGTTAGAAAAATATTAGCAAGACACTTAGATTTGCACTTCCACAGTTAGGAGGAAACTCACAAGCCTCGCTCCTCTAATGTACCGTTCAGCTAGAATTCCTAAAAGAAAGCTCACTGACATCTGTTGTATCCAAAAGAATAAACTGTCATTAGGCCACAGGAGGAAATGTGAAATGATTCAGACATGTAATTGTAAATTTTTCCCTTCATGTGTGAATTAAGTCGATTCGAAATGTAACATTTCAGGCTAAGGTTGAAACGAGTTAATGATTCTGGGCTTTACAAATGTTTCTAACTATGTTCATAAGTGCCATAAATTTGGAGCAGGATGGCCATGATAAGCATTCGATACGCCACAGTGCGGTAGGAGATAAAAATTAAGAGCTACGTAAGTCAGCTTGGGTTACAGCTCTGCAGCGAACACAGTCTAGGTTGAGCACGTTACTCAGCATGAGAGCTTCTCAGCCCCGACCTGACCAAATGCACAAGAATGGAAACTGAATACAGCAAAATGCAAAGCGCTCTGTTACCTCTTCGGAGAAGCAGGCCTCCTTGTCGTCAGCCTTGCAGCACTTTTCCAAGAAAGCCGCGAACTCGCCCATCACGGTCTTCAGCTGGTCACCGGTAGCCTTGGGTTTGTGTTTCACCAGCTCGGCAAGGGCGCTGCATTCGGACAGAAAGTAAGAACAGCAAGGGACGGTTACGCCCACGCGGGAACACAAGACAGCAAGGATGGCGAGGTCACAGGTTAAAGTTACAAGTCTTGGATTCAAGTGACTCTGGCTTTGACGACCCAGCACGCCATTGCCAGCCTTAACAGTCTTGACTGCGTGTGAGGGTAGTAAGTGCCCTCTGCTAGGACTGAATCAACTGAATGATTGGTGCAAGACACGCTGTCTCTTATGTAGTTGCAGGAGATTTCCTGAAAGACTTCTGTCTTTGCACTTCAGCTATGGAATTCTCTCTAACGTCTGCCCCATTTGGCTCACTAATAATGGGGATGCTATAAAAATGAAAAGAAGCCAAGCTGGGTCTCTGTCGTTGATATTTACAGACCAAAGAGTACTGGAGAAAAGAGCTGTGTGGGGGATGGGTTTTGTTACAGGATCCGAACCGCAGTCACAGGTCCCCACAGGTGATGACAACCTCCGGCTACATCTCACACTGTTGGAACCTTTCCCGAGAGAATGAGGAGTCTACCCTTCTATGTGTGTTTCCAGCTGTTTCTTATCCTACCCTCAGAAGTCACACCTGTGGCTCTGTCCTGCATCTGGTGCGGCTTCAGCATGGAACAATTGCAGCTAACTATTCATCTCTTGAAATAAGTTCTCCTATGATTTCTATCACCAATTTTATACCTATGCAAATTCATCCGTTAGTTATTTAGCATTATCTACTTTACCTCGACTAGAATTTTATTCTGTTGTGGTTTTTACCCACCGTATTAAAGATAATTCACATGAAAACATTTAATAGTCTTTTTTCCAATAGTAAAAAAGCTTTGACACTTTTTCAACCCAGTAATGCCAACACCTAAACTCTTCTCTCTCAGGAATACAAACACTGCATCAAACTAGACACATCCAATGGACAGGTCTCACTCTCAACACTAGAGACACCCGCAATAAGAAACTATCACTCACGTTTGCTTCTTTAGCTGCTTCTCCTTGTCTGGAAGTGTGCAGATGTCGGCATGGAAGGTGAAGGATTCAGCTTTAAATTCTTTGGGGACATAGGTTTCATCAACTGGCAGAGCCGAGAAGCAAGGTCGCCTTTCCACCAAAGAGCCAGTACAGCACTTGGTGACGTGCTCGCTCACTGGGGTCTTCTCATGCAGCACACACACACGGTTCAGGATGGCAGAGAGCTAAAGAAGCGCAGGCGGAGGAGCAGAACAGTCACTAGAAATCCACAGACACCCACTTTCCGGTGCACTGGAGGAACTTCCATATTGTTTTAGCAGCTATGAATTTGTCCTTGATTGGCACAGTCACTTATTTATCATTGAAACCAAACATGTGGGATTTATAAACATTGCCTCTCTTTTATTTAAATATAGGTGGCCAAGCCCCAGCTACCACACACACACACACACACACACACACTCACACACACACACACACACACTAGTACACCCTTGCTCCTAAAAGTTAGATTTGTCAATATCTAAAGATAAAACCCCAGCTCTGCTAACATTATGTAATTTCTGTAAGACTCACATAGTCTTCCACACATGGCATTCTGTCTGCTTCAGGAAGCCCACAGCACTTGGTGCCCACTCTTCCTAGGTTTCTTGCAGCTTCCACGAGAGTTGGAGTCGATACCTGAGGTGCTTTCTGAGTGTAACGCACTAGGAGCCTGTTATAAAAAAAATAATTTATATGGTTGCATTCAGGCAGGAAACTGGCCTGCTGTAAAATATTTCAACAAGAGAAAATTTACCCCAAATCAATTTAGATTTTTTTCCCACTAATTGATTTTTTTCTCTAGGATGATATCA